CATATATATGTGCTAGTTATCCGTTATGAGTACTTCGACATTTCCTACCTTCATATGCTGCCTGCACTAAGTTAACCATCGTATGTGAGACCCCTTTGTACTTCATTAACTTCCAAAAAGATTTCCTATCCACGATGTTTACAGTTTTTTTTTTTTTTTTCATAGTCTGTGAATCTTTTGTAAAGTGGTGAATTCTGTTCCATACCTTGCTCTGTTACAATAGTTAGTTAGGCTATCTAAACAAAATCTGTCAGTCCGAAAATATGCCTCTTCATCTCTTGGATGTTTACCAGTGAGGTCTTTCAGTCTTTCGACAATAATCCTTCTTAATATTTTCCAATGAACTGACACTAATATAATTCCTCTCTTTAGCTTTTACTCTCACGCAGATCGTCTTTATTAGGCAGTGTCACAAGATATCCTTCTCTCCAGTCTGTTGGTATTTGTTCAATGTCCTTAACTTCACTGAATAATTTGTGTATCAACTCCGTACATGTGTTATTATTGGTGTGGTGGGATACTGTCTGAACCTGCAGCCTCCCCTTCCTTCAGAAGACTGACATTTTGTCCTAATCTTTTCTTTAGGTGGTTGATATTTCACAGGGTGGTTGATATTTCACAGGGTGGTTGATATTTCACAGGGTGGTTGATATTTCACAGGGTGGTTGATATTTCACAGCTGATAATCAGCTCCATCTCTAAAGGCTGAGTATCTAGAGTGGCGTTTGTGCTGGTCTGTTCAGAAGAACTTCTAAATATTCATTATTTCTCACACACCCCGCGACCCCTCGCGACCCCTTTTTTCATAAAACCCCGCCTAGACCCCCAAGACCGGCTGTATGTGACTGTCTCCTCTTCACTTGTTTTATATTTAACAAAATGTTACATAAGAACATCAATGAAAGACCTGATTTACTCCGGTTTCGCATCGGACCCGTGTTTCCTAGACCATCTTGCATTCGGTGGCTGATGTGGTGCTTAACTTTACTTCCCAGTTACTACATGGAAGACATTTTAGTCTGGGCTGACCTGAGACCTGAAATCGATTGTTTAATAAATCGCTTTGATGTTCTTTTGTACAGGATGTCCCCGTTTCCAAGCTGTTTCTTACACCTTGTGATTGCTTGTTAATTGTTCAACTGTCTGTACCACACAATATTTTTGAGTATCTATTTAGATATTAATATCTATTTCTATCTTTCTGAAAGAATTTTTGCCCATATTTAATTTATTCTCTCGCCATCATCTTTTATTTCACACCAAAAATGTGACGGAGACACTTAACTGCCTGTAGAGTTTGTCCGTTTTCTGTCATGCTAGTTGTTATGTTTGCTGTTTCGTTCACCGTAGGGCTCTGCTTTCCATTGATTATTGTTATAGTGTGGGATCCAATAATGTTTCTCATAATATTAATATTTAATTTATATTCTGTATATTCTAGGCATTGTTACGTACATACACTGTGAGCTAGTAACAGTATATCATAAGCATAACTTTGCATATCTTATATTCTGTATTAGTGGTCCCTTAGTACTCAAATTTGGCAGTTTTCCAAAACTCCGGTTTGAGTCTCCAGTTGCCAGATCGAAGATGGCTTCTGCTTCTTCTTCTCTCTCTCTCTCTCTCTCTCTTTTTCATCGACGCTGTGTCCCACAATGGAGCATAGACCCCTATCTAACTGATGCCAAGTGTTCCTGTCTTTTGATATGACATGCAGCCTACTCCAAGACCTTCCCATCTGCTTTTAAACTGACTATTTAGCACCTTCTTCATACGTGTGTATGTGTCCCCCTCCCCTTTTACCCTTTTGGCCATTTTTTTCTGTGTCACGGTAGGATTGGATGTGTAAAGACATTCTAGTTATGCTGTCCCCACGTAATGGATTATGTCCCAATGGATAAAGTGCGTACCTCATAGTGGGTATACAAAGAAAGTGGTTACAGCTGAAACCAGATTTCTGTGGTTCGCTGTAACCAAATGTAGAAAGAGAACACATTTGACAGAGACTGATATTCAGTGAAAGCTCTGTCATACTGTATGTGATGTGTGGGACATAATAGTTATATGTATTTGTTACTACTCAAGTGGTAACAGAGTTTTGTCCGTTTGTATTGTCTTACCTGTTATAGTTGTCAGTCTCTTTAGCAACTGTTTGTTTGTTACTTTAACTCACTCTATCTCAGTATATTTGTTTTAACCTGTTATAATCAAAAAGATCATTAAACGAACAGTATAGGGCTAACAGTTACGAGTGTCAAGAAACAATAACAGAATGAGTTATAATAACAACCCTAATTTGGTAAGATGGCTAAAGTGAAAACAAACCATTTTATTATGGTCTAAGTGACAACAGTAATGCGTTTACAGGGGTAAAGTAACAAAAGCAATTTGGATAAATAGGTTCAGTAACAAAAGTAATTCGAACGGAGAGCATTACATTAAAACAGCATAGGGACAACACCTATACCCTTCTAAGCAGAGAGATGCAAATGATTGCGTCTGTGTTCTGTTTATCTAAATGTCTGACATAAATGGGTCAAACAGCAGACTAATGCGTCCGACATCGTCCTATGGAGGATCATGGACATCAAATGCTAGGTGCACATGTTTAAACAACTCGGTATTGGATCCGCTTTTATGGTCAATGTTCTGACAGCTGCCTAGACACGTTGTCTGCGTCAGCTCAGGCGCTGCGAACCGGCTTAATAATGCCGAGGTGCCGGGTTAGATTCCAGCGGCGGGTGATTTGGCAGTAAACCACCTAGCATTAGTTTTAACAGTGGTATTGATAACTAACCGTTTAGAAAAACAGTGGAGTTAGTTCCTGTCTTCAAGCCTATAGAGCCTGTAACCAGCAATGGGCTTCTACAGAGCCATCACAACAGTCAAAGCAATATGCTCAGTTGCAAAGACAATTTGCCGGAAGTCAAGTTAGGACGAACTGGAGTGTAAAATCGATTAAGTCTCCTAGATGAGTCCAGTTGAAATATGTTCCAGGAAATTTCCCAGGAAATAAAGTCAGTCTGCCTGATGTCGACCATATTGTCTGTCTTGTGCCAACTCATCTTTCAGACATGTCTGGGTTAGCATCGTCAGTCCGGTGTTCCCGATAACGTGAGACTGGGTCCTAACTGTTTCTGTTAATGCTATAACCACTGTTACACTTACTGCTGTTGTAACTGTCACTGTTGCTGAAGATGGGTTGTGCCTTAGGTTCGTAAGTGTGAAAAACAAGCACATACAGATGCGGAGTTTCCCGGGACATGGGGGTAGGGTGAGATTTTGTTCCTGGATTCTGACTGGACCTGCCTGGGCTTGTTTCTAACTTCCATCATGTTGTTTAAGTGAGTTAGAACACAATAATGTAACCCACACCTACTGGAGTTGGTCGAATGTTTATTGCAGTCCCAGCAACAACTCAGTCGTGTCGGTTGTCTTGTTACCTGGTCGTCGTGAAGCTGGCTGACACAAAGTCTGGCAGAGAACATCATTCGTCGAGCATACAAGTATTTACCTTTCAGTCCAGGCTTCTCATTTTGACGAACATTTTAGGAATCATCCCTAAGGTAGATATGACAATCGCTGGTCTCTCTTCGTGAATTCAACATTGCAGCCATCGACTTGCTTTCGCGATGCAGTCGACATTCATTCCAAAGATAATTCTTCCCCTCAGCACATTTTGACTGCTTCCATCTCTGTCCAAAAACCAAGAGCCCTTATTTTATTTGCCCTTCCCAACCCTTGTTTGTTTTGCACGGAGTTTGGGCTAGTTACTGTTCACTCCCTTTCCTGACCGTCTTTTATTTTGTGTTGCCCATTTTCTCACTGGCCTGTCACTCACTCTGCCGCGTCACAAGGGGTTCCCCGGAAATTCCCTCATTACCGGAAGGGGTGGAGGTTAGGGGGGGGGGGGGGAAGTAGAGACCATCAAACAGACAGACGAATGAATGGATGGATTGTGGAATGGGCAGATTGATGGGTGGATAGAAAAGACAGACCTACCAACCGACAGACAGAAAACAGACAGATGGACAGACAAATAAAACAGACATATAGATACACAGATAGACACTTACTTTGAAATATTAACAAATAGGGCTCGCAGGCTTCAAGTACATTCAAACCTTCGAAACACTTATCTTTCACACAGCAGTCGCATTTTATCTATGGAGCATGACATATTTATATAAGAATATATACATAACATGAATATACAGTACAATAAAAAGCATTGATGCACTAAGTGACGGGCTGTAATATTCATTCGATAGTTACAGTTGTGTCTCAGAATTCGAATATAATCCGCTCCAAGACAGCGTTCGAGTTCCAAATCGGTCGCATAGTCCTTCATCACTTGTAGACGGTTCGGAGCCACTTGGTTTTGTCGCCAGCCATCGCTCCAAAGTGCTCTGATGTTGGCGACCATTTATAATTGTCCCAAATGTTCGGTAATGTTATAACTGAATCAGTTAACACATCTGTTAACTAGAGCTCTGTCGTGGTGCCACTTCCCAACAACTTCTGCGTGTTTGGCCACATGGTCAAACATAAACCTTGGATTTCAGCAGTGCTAATCCTTCCAGCGTCCCCTTTCCTTCCTGGAAGAAATATCTTTCGTAATGTCTTCCATCCGCTGCCGGGAAAGGGGCTGCAACTCTCGTGCCTTGGGATGAGCTCCTGCCAGGTGTTCGGTTTTCAAGGTGGCATTCGAGTACCCAGGCAAAATGTACTTGCAATTGTGGTTCGAATTTATAGTATTTTTGAGTTTTGATGCGTTCAAATTCCGAGGTACAACTGTACTTTTGTAAGGAAAAAAGCGGAAATACTTTAAGCTGTTTTTAATTTGCTGGTCGGCGAATGAAGTGTCATTTGCATAAATGTAATTATTGCTAACATTGATGTCACAGAGTAGAAAAGTTCAGATGTTCTATAAATACCCAGCGTGTGCACTCTCTGTCACTTTGTGGCATTGAACACGTGAAAACTTCCCCAGACCCACCATGTCATCGTTCACGGACAAACTAGCTCGCTTTGTGGAATCAACATGTGTTGGTTTGGCGTTGACTTTGTCCAAAGATGTTGGGATCTTGCAAGTTCTGCTGGACGCTCGGACACCACTGACATCGCACCAAATCGCTGACCAGAGAGGCATGAAAGAAAGGTCAGTTTGGCAGCGTTTGCATCAACATTACAGCTCTTCACAACTAGTCAAGAAAAACATGCATTTATAGCATACATGGGTAGCGCTAGGTCCCTAAAGGGAGCTACTACCAGGAGAAACTCTACAGGGGAGCATGTACAGCAGGAGTCTACCAATCGTCAGTACAAGTAATTTCTAGTCGACAAATGTTTCGGCCCACGAGCTCCTAGACATATTCAGTCATGAGGCTCAGGGTTGGTTTCTCCTGCTGCACGTATTACCGGATGTTTTCGGACAGGGACAAGACAAATTGGTGACTTTGCAAACGGTACTGTGAGATACTGTATTTACATAGTCGCTGCGGTAGCATAAATAGAGCAGTCTGCATACCTGGACGACCAAGTGGCAAGCTTACGGTTGGTTAATCGGACACATGTTGAACTTTGTTGGCAGATTGCAGAGGGACACTGGCAGACAATTCGGATACGATGGACTTTAAGGGATAAGACATTCTTTTCCACTAGACACCCGGACCAGCTCACCGAGGCCCGTCCCCCACGATGTTTCGTTGTGTCCAGAGCCAGCTTGAGGCCCTCTCTGCAATCTCGCCCAGTTATTTTAGTGCTCGTTTGCGCTCATTTCCTCGCAAGCCTAGTTGTTCAATCCCTTTGTAGAATGAAGTGGAAACGAGACCTCTTGCGCCTACCTCGACGGCGAAGATTCTTACTGTGTACGCTTCGTCTCTCCTCATACCAGCCGCTAAGTCACTGTACTTCTCGAGCTTGTACATATGGCTTTCGTCCATTCGCGACTCGCACGGGACGGTCAGCTCGATCAGGATGAGCTAACGTTTCTCCGCAGAGTGTAGGACTATGTCGGGTCGCAGGCCAGTCTTCCGGATTGACTCAGGGTACTTTTCATGACCAGGCAGGTCAACCGCCAGTAACCAGTCCCTCGCACAGTCAAGCATCGATGGAGCGTATGCGACTTTGTTGGATTTACATTTATAAATCTGCCCAGCCTTAAGGAAGCGTACGGGGACAACGGTAGGACTGGCCCTCGCATTGGCCCTCATCATATTTTGGTCCACAACGGCCGCTAACTCTTTCAGCACCTTGTTGTGGCGCCAAGTATACCTGCCTTGACCTAGGGCTTTTCTGCACGCGGACAGAACGTGCTCGAGGGTCTGTTTAGCTCTAATAGCGGCATGTCGGGTAGTTAGTCGCACTCCACTTTACCATGTTAACACCGGACGGTAATACATAGTAGGCAGATCAACCGATAAAGCTCAGTCGCAGCGGGGTCATTCGCCAGATCTCACCCCATGTGAGTTCTCGTGGCAAGGCGCTCTCTAGGCCGATCCACTGGCCTTGCTGCGACTGTTGTGCTGGACCCGAACCTCGTTTTCGGTGTCCATGATCTGCTGTATTCGATAGTATCTAGGACCTTCCATTTGACGCCAGTCTTTAGAGAGGGCTGGCAGCAGTGACAGTGGGGTCTGAAGACTCTCGCAACATCATAGCGAGTCCTACTTTGCCGACTTTAAACTCTTCGGTTATTGATTTTAACGGAGTACCAGCTTCGCCTTTTTACAATACAGAGCCGTCAGACAGGGTGTTGCTCCTAACCATTTCCTCATGGCTGTGTTGATTTTACGCTCCATTGCCTCCACTGCCGTCATCGTCACTTTGTAGATGAGCAGAGGCCAGAGGAGCTTTGGGATCAACATAAATTGGAGACGCCAGACCTTGAACATTCCGATCAGCATACAACGCTCGATTGCGAGCCGGCCTGTAGCTAGTGACTCGTGTATTCGCCGGACCTCCGTTCTATCAGATAACTTCATATCGTAAACGCGACCAAGGCTCTTCACCGGTTCCTCAAGAACCGTGGGATCCGATTCCTTGCCACCGTAAAACTGATCGCCGCCACCTAACCTTTAAGGATAGTCAGACTCCTCGACTTCTGCGGTTTAAATTGCATACCGCTCCATTGGACCACCGCGTCCAATCTTTTCAGAATCATGGGGGCAGAATTCTCACTGCCAGTGATTATAGTCGTGTCATCCATAAATGAAAGTAGTGGCGGCATCCAGAAGTCCCCAATCTAAAGACCCTGTCCGTAGCCAGCCGCCCCGTCCAACATGACCTGCATGGCCATAACGAACATTATTGGTGAGATTGTACGCCCCATAGCTATCCCAACTTGGAGCTCAGTCCATCTCGTAGTAAACGTTGAGGTAGAGAAGCGCAAAGCGAACTTAGAAAAATATTGCTCGATCATATCATTGATCTGTGCCGGTACGTGGAACATGCGAAGGGCCGGCCACAGTAGCTTATGGGCAACTGCCCCATAGGCGTTTGCGAGGTCCAACCATATCACGTGCTACTAAGTTCTCTGAATAGACTCCCAGATCATGGTCGCGTGTTCAAGGCACCCAGGAACGCCAGGGACACCACCCTTTTGAACACTCGTATCGAAGTATTTATTCGCCATCAGATACTGTGTGAGCCGGCGAGCCATGACCGGGAAGAATATTTTGCCCTCAACGTTTAACAGCGAGATAGGTCTGAATTGGGAAAGACTCTTCGAGCCTCGCTCTTTTGGGAATGTAGACCCCGTTGGCCCGTTGCCACTCGGAACATGTGTGATTTCGGCTCCACGCTAATCTCAGCAAGCGGTGAAGCATTCGTAGGACTTTCGGACAACGCTTGTACAGGAAGTACCGAACACCATTCGGACCTGAGGCTGACTTGCAGCTAGCTATTTTCACAACTTCCTCGACCTCATACCAAGAGGGAGGTATCATTTTAAATGATACCTTCGGCAACTCAGGCCGCTTCAGGTCGCTAATGATCTCTGGATTGTTATCGAGAGGCTCATTCCTTTTTTTTTTTTTTTTTTCTTAGTACATTTTTGCGTAAATGTGACTCTTTACTGACCACCAGAGTCCCAGACTTCGGTTGTTCGAATAGACATCGGGCAAACTGGAACGGGTCTCTAAAGAATTTCTCTCGCTCCCTTGTTGTTCTCCGTCTGTTACTACAGAAACGCTCAGCGCGACAGAGGGCACTGTGACCGGCTCTCGGGTGCAACCAGACCTCGTACAGCCCTCCCGTTTGCTGCCTGTAGCGGCTTTGAACCGTTTTCTGAGTGCGTTTTTGTCTGCCCTGCACTTTAGAATGTCCCTGTGTCTCCTGCTTGTATTTTGCTTGACGCCCGGCTGCGTCTTCTCATTGTCCCGTGCTCGCGGGAACAGTGCTCGTATATTATATTACGAAATCCTGTTACTTGTCATCTAACGACTTTTTCTTTAAATCATGATTTTATTTCTCACAGTGTACCCTCTAGTTTGCACCATGACATTTATTCACTCGCAGGTGGAAATCTGATCTTTGAATGCACTTCTTCAGGAATAATCAAAAGTGCACCTCCGCAGTCGACGTCATGGCCTCTAGGGCGAGTGGGTTATACCCTGCCCGTCGCTCCCTAACGACTCAGTAACTACCACGGGAGTTGTAGTTTTGCGACGGCGTTTACTGCGTGGCGCACCCTCGCATTTCATCCTTCCGGAATGAGTTCTCAGACCATGGAACCCCGTGAAGCTCTTTCCACATGTACAGAGCCAACCCGGCCGACGGGCAAAAATCTCAGTCCTGGGACTAGCAAGGTCGTCACCGTTAGTTTCTAATTGATTGGGTCCATCATTCTCCCCCTCTTTCAATGGACCCTGGGGGCGTACTTATTCATGCGGTTTAGAAATCAGAGGTATTTTACTGTGTTAGGGGTGATCAACACGGTCAACAGTCGACATCTGTCTCCAGATGTCAGTTATCCCCCCGGCGATACCGGAAGGGGGGTGGGGGGAGTCTTTCCATAGGTGTCAAAAGGTCTTTCCCGAAAGTCACCAGCCTTTCCTGGTTGTCTTGTGGGCTAACAACGTACAATAAGAAGAAACTCCACAGGGGAGCATGTACAGCAGTAGTCTACCAATCGTCAGAAGAAGTAGAGCATTTTAAAGTTCACATGAATCTGTAAGACTGTACGGCCGGAAGTGGCAATCAGTGACGACCAGACATGCGCACTGATACACTGATTGCGATGTTTGAGTGTCATTTCTCGATAAATACGTGCACCTTTGCCCTTAGTGGACGGCCATTCCTTAATTTCAGTACCTAGAAGCGACCTATCGTTCCACCCCCCCCCCCCCCTCTTCGTGTGTACCCAGACACGACCTCAAGGTTAGACTATCACAACAAACGAGAAGTCATGACGGCTGAACTCTGGGCATGGAAAAGCCACTAGAAAGTCTGAGCGAGGAAGTAGAACAAAAACGCTGGACAGAGCGAACTCTGGACAGACAGACAAAAGGACGAGAGTGGACTTGCGTGAAGCAACGACCGTTAGCTGTGAATGTGTTATCGACCAGTTAGTGACGGACCATTAAGTGTATTGTGTGTCTAAGTCATTGTTGTGAATCAGTTATCCGGTTGTAGCATTCTTTAAGGATTAGAAGTGTATGTGTAGAATTTGTTAGACAGGTACAGTTATCATGCAATGGTTATGGCGTTAACACTGCCCGAGCTTATTTGGGCCTTTTCCCGGTGCGCCTCGGAATCTCGCATGGCGAGGTCAGCGGCTTAACCAGCGCTGTACGAAAGTGGAGTGGGTTTGTATCCCAGGATATCCACGGAAATGGCGGGGTCTCACTAGTGAATATAAAAGTAAGCCGGCAGGCATTTCGGATCGGGGACATCCACCATTTTTGAGGTTATATTCCTAAGCTGACTTAATCTCTTTTTTTTTTTCATTTAAGATTTTGTGTGTGCTCCGCAAGTGTTTGGTTTGAGTGTGTAGTAGGGTAGTTTTGTCTGTTATCTGTCGACGATACGAGCAAGATTAAACATAGAATTGAGAAGGTAGTGGAGAGCCACCTAGCAAAGCGCGATCATCACAGGCAGATGGTCCTAGACTCATAGACCAGTGCACACGATAGGTGATGTGGTCGTATCATACCGTCCACCTTTACTTTCCCGGACATTTTCTGGTATGTTTACCTTGTAGGCTGATTAAGCCTGGGAGCCAAGATCAGCTATACAGAAATCCTTTCCGTTCTGATTCGATGCCAGAGATGGAATGGGAGACAAACGTCGAGCTTCAAGGCGTTTAGGTAGGTACAGTACAGGACCCTGTCCCAGGCCTCTATGTGTATTGGGCATATAGGGCTAGAACTAAATTTTATAGATCAATCGGCACTCACTAGTGATTTAGTGAACATCATGCAGGCCTTCTTTACTTCCCAAAACTCACCCCTTTATTAATGAATATTTTTTTTTAAGTCAGGCTAAGTCAGGGCTTGAACCTATGACATTCAGATTCGCAAGAGAGCGTCTAGCCGTTACACCCCGACGGCTCTCTTAACAGCATTGCAGCAGTTTGAAAAAAGTACAACTGAATCCTTCTTCTTTCCTTTGAGATACGTGCGTGAACTTGTAGACTGTCTGGCTACAGCAGAGGTCATCCACGCCTCCACCAGTGATTCCGGTTGTCTGCTCTATTACATTGACGAGGAGGAGAAGAAAGCCTTCAAGACACCAGCCATGGCTCGTATGTCCTTCTCGGTGGGGATGATGAAAGTTTATGACTACTTAAAATCTTGTTTCAGCAAAACTGGGCCCTCTGGTAAGTTATAGAAACGATGTTGACGTTTGTTTTGAGAACACAATACTCACCCAGTACTCATTTTCATGTGGGCCGTTTTTTAAATTTTGTTTGTACGATAATCGCAGAGGTAAATTGTGAAAGAAAAGAAGAAGAAGAAGAAGAAGAAGAAGAAGAAGAAGAAGAAGAAGAAGAAGAAGAAGAGAAGAAGAAGAAGAAGAAGAAGAAGAAGAAGAAAGAAGAAGAAGAGAAGAAGAAGAAGAAGAAGAAGAAGAAGAAGAAGAAGAAGAAGAAGAAGAAGAAGAAGAAGAAGAAGAAGAAGAAGAAGAAGAAGAAGAAGAAGAAGAAAGAAGAAGAAGAAGAAGAAGAAAAAGAAGAAGAAGAAGAAGAAGAAGAAGAAGAAGAAGAAGAAGAAGAAGAAGAAGAAGAAGAAGCAGAAGCAGCAGCAGCAGCAGCAGCAGCAGCAGCAGCTCGCCTCGCTCGATAAGACTTTATGAGTGTGTCAAGAATTTCTTTCCCAAGACGACATTCTGGTGTGCAAGGTTATCAACAGGCTGATTGACTTCATGCTTCCGCCCCTGAGCGATGATAAATTAGGCGTGGCTTTCCGAGACAATGTAGCAGAATGGAGTATCCATACCTCATAAGACTGTTTCATCGGGAAGTTAGCAGATAGTCTGGACGGGTTTCAAGACAAGCGATTTTTTAGTCAGGATGTATTTGACACTTATAGCATTGCCAATGTAGTGATGAAATCTCATGCATTTGTTCGTTCGCACTTCTACTCTGCCATAATCTACAATATTTTCACCTCAGGTTTCAGGATATCGACAGAATTCTACGATGCTATTGATGAATATGGAGACTGCCAATTCGACAGCTATGTGGACTCCCTCATGAGATGTGTGGACGGGCTGAAGGCTCAACTGGGTAACTGGAGAATTGTGGAAAGCATTTTTGAGTGTGTTCTTACTAGAGGTTACAGTGTGTTTGTGTTCCTGGGGACAGATGTCGTCTCTGTGTGTATGTGAATGTTACTGTGGACACATGCTGTCGTGTGTGTGTGTGTGTGTTACTGGGACAGATGTCGTCTCTGTGCGTATGTGAATGTTACTGTGGACACATGATGTCGTGTGTGTGTGTGTGTTACTCGGGACAGATGTCGTCTCTGTGTGTATGTGAATGTTACTGTGGACACATGCTGTCGTGTGTGTGTGTTACTGGGGACAGATGTCGTCTCTGTGTGTATGTGAATGTTACTGTGGACACATGCTGTCGTGTGTGTGTGTGTGTGTGTGTGTGTGTTACTGGGGACAGATGTAGTCTCGGTGTGTATGTGAATGTTACTGTGGACACATGCTGTCGTGTGTGTGTGTGTGTTACTGGGGACAGATGTCGCCTCTGTGTGTATGTGAATGTTACTGTGGACACATGCTGTCGTGTGTGTGTGTGTGTGTGTTACTGGGGACAGATTTCGTCTCTGTGTGTATGTGAATGTTACTGTGGACACATGCTGTCGTGTGTGTGTGTGTGTGTGTGTGTGTGTTACTGGGGACAGATGTCGTCTCTGTGTATATGTGAATGTTACTGTGGACACATGCTGTCGTGTGTGTGTGTGTGTGTTACTGGGTACAGATGTCGTCTCTGTGTATATGTGAATGTTACTGTGGACACATGCTGTCGCGTGTGTGTGTTACTGGGGACAGATGTCGTCTCTGTGTGTATGTGAATGTTACTGTGAACACATGCTGTCGTGTGTGTGTGTGTGTGTGTGTGTTACTGGGGACATATGTCGTCTCGGTGTGTATGTGAATGTTACTGTGGACACATGCTGTCGTGTGTGTGTGTGTGTGTTACTGGGGACAGATGTCGTCTCTGTGTGTATGTGAATGTTACTGTGGACACATGCTGTCGTGTGTGTGTGTGTGTGTTACTGGGGACAGATGTCGTCTCGGTGTGTATGTGAATGTTACTGTGGACACATGCTGTCGTGTGTGTGTGTTACTGGGGACAGATGTCGTCTCTGTGTGTATGTGAATGTTACTGTGGACACATGCTGTCGTGTGTGTGTGTTACTGGGGACAGATGTCGTCTCTGTGTGTATGTGAATGTTACTGTGGACACATGCTGTCGTGTGTGTGTGTGTGTGTGTGTGTGTGTTACTGGGGACAGATGTCGTCTCGGTGTGTATGTGAATGTTACTGTGGACACATGTTGTCGTGACTGTGTGTTACTGGGGACAGATGTCGTCTCTGTGTGTATGTGAATGTTACTGTGGACACATGCTGTCGTGTGTGTGTGTGTTACTGGGGACAGATGTCGTCTCTGTGTGTATGTGAATGTTACTGTGGACACATGCTGTCGTGTGTGTGTGTGTGTTACTGGGGACAGATGTCGTCTCGGTGTGTATGTGAATGTTACTGTGGACACATGCTATCGTGTGTGTGTGTTACTGGGGACAGATGTCGTCTCTGTGTGTATGTGAATGTTACTGTGGACACATGTTGTCGTGTGTGTGTGTGTGTGTTACTGGGGACAGATGTCGTCTCGGTGTGTATGTGAATGTTACTGTGGACACATGCTGTCGTGTCTGTGTGTTACTGGGGACAGATGTCGTCTCTGTGTGTATGTGAATGTTACTGTGGACACATGCTGTCGTGTGTGTGTGTGTTACTGGGGACAGATGTCGTCTCTGTGTGTATGTGAATGTTACTGTGGACACATGCTGTCGTGTGTGTGTGTGTGTGTGTTACTGGGGACAGATGTCGTCTCTGTGTATATGTGAATGTTACTGTGGACACAAGCTGTCGTGTGTGTGTGTGTGTGTGTTACTGGGTACAGATGTCGTCTCTGTGTATATGTGAATGTTACTGTGGACACATGCTGTCGTGTGTGTGTGTTACTGGGGACAGATGTCGTCTCTGTGTGTATGTGAATGTTACTGTGAACACATGCTGTCGTGTGTGTGTGTGTGTGTGTGTGTGTTACTGGGGACATATGTCGTCTCGGTGTGTATGTGAATGTTACTGTGGACACATGCTGTCGTGTGTGTGTGTGTGTTACTGGGGACAGATGTCGTCTCTGTGTGTATGTGAATGTTACTGTGGACACATGCTGTCGTGTGTGTGTGTGTGTGTGTTACTGGGGACAGATGTCGTCTCTGTGTGTATGTGAATGTTACTGTGAACACATGCTGTCGTGTGTGTGTGTGTGTGTGTTACTGGGGACATATGTCGTCTCGGTGTGTATGTGAATGTTACTGTGGACACATGCTGTCGTGTGTGTGTGTGTGTTACTGGGGACAGATGTCGTCTCTGTGTGTATGTGAATGTTACTGTGGACACATGCTGTCGTGTGTGTGTGTGTGTGTGTGTGTTACTGGGGACAGATGTCGTCTCGGTGTGTATGTGAACGTTACTGTGGACACATGCTGTCGTGTGTGTGTGTTACTGGGGACAGATGTCGTCTTTGTGTATATGTAAATGTTACTGTGGACACATGCTGTCGTGTGTGTGTGTGTTACTGGGTACAGATGTCGTCTCTGTGTATATGTGAATGTTACTGTGGACACATGCTGTCGTGTGTGTGTGTTACTGGGGACAGATGTCGTCTCTGTGTGTATGTGAATGTTACTGTGAACACATGCTGTCGTGTGTGTGTGTGTGTTACTGGGGACATATGTCGTCTCGGTGTGTATGTAAATGTTACTGTGGACACATGCTGTCGTGTGTGTGTGTGTGTTACTGGGGACAGATGTCGTCTCTGTGTATATGTGAATGTTACTGTGGACACATGCTGTCGTGTGTGTGTGTTACTGGGGACAGATGTTGTCTCTGTGTGTATGTGAATGTTACTGTGAACACATGCTGTCGTGTGTGTGTGTGTTACTGGGGACAGATGTCGTCTCGGTGTGTATGTGAATGTTACTGTGGACACATGCTGTCGTGTGTGTGTGTGTGTTAATGGGGAGAGATGTCGTCTCTGTGTGTATGTGAATGTTACTGTGGACACATGCTGTCGTGTGTGTCTGTGTGTGTGCGTGTGTTACTGGGGACAGACGTCGTCTATGTGTGTATGTGAATGTTACCGTGGACACATGCTGTCGTGTGTGTCTGTGTGTGTGCGTGAGTTACTGGGGACAGACGTCGTCTATGTGTGTATGTGAATGTTACTGTGGACCTACTCTGTCATGTGTGTATGTGTGTGTGTATGTGTATGTTACTGTGGACCTACTCTGTCATGTGTATGTGTGTGTGTATGTGAATGCTACTGTGGACCTACTCTGTCGTGTGTGTGTGTGTGTGTTACTGGGGACAGATGTAGTCTGTGTGTGTGTGTGTGCATGTTACTGCGGACACACACTGCCGTATGCGTGTTACAGTTTGACACATGTTACCTTCTCTCTCTCTCTCTCTCTCTCTCTCTCTCTCTCTCTCTCTCTCTTTCTCTCTCTCTCTCTCTTTGTGTGTGTGTTTTTTTTTTAATGTGTGTGTGTTTAGCAGAGGCACTCATACAAAGAAAAGATAATTTTCTGGAAAAGGGGAAGGTGGGAAGGAAAGGGGGGGGGGGGGTGTTCCTTTAAGAAGCTACTGAATTATCAGTGTGCAAAACACCATTTGAAACAAAACATCATTTGAAACAAAACACCATTTGAAACAAAACACCATTGGAAAACTGCTAGAAAAGTGAGTGGCAAGGGAAATTATTCGTGAATGAGAACAAACAGGTAGACTATCATTACCATTTGGAGACAAGAGAACCACATAGGGATTTGTGGAGCAATGCTGTCATTTTTGCGTAGGATGTCTATAAAGGTTTCCATGCAGGAGTAGAAACATGTGCTGTGAGTCTAGACGTGCAAGATGCATACAACAAGGTTCCCTTTGAAAAACTAACAAACCAGCTCGTAAATATCAACATTTTTCCAAGAGTCATTACCTGAAAAGCAGCAGCGCTCTTTAAGAGACAGGCTGTTTCCAAATTCGGAAGATGGATCGCTGAATTGAAAAGCATACAACCAGGGTTGCCTCAGTCCTCACCTTTATCCCAAGTCCTCTTCAATATTTTCACTACAGAGGAAATAAAATATTAAATCTCAGGTGAAGAAACTGAACTCTGGTATTGTGATGACATACTGGTGAACTGTCAGGGCAAGAACTGGCGCAGAAATCAAGACGATCTCCAGAAGAAAGTGTGACGCTTAGCAGATTGGCGTCACACCTATGGAGCACAGATTAAACCTGCAAAAAATCGACTGCAACTTAGTTTTCTTTGAACAACCACATAGTACACAAAACAACATCCTCTGTGCATATGAATGATAAAGAGATAGCAAGGAATGAACTTTTAAAATACCCAGGAGTGAGTTTTGATAGAAGCCTTAGCTGCAGATTCCAAACTGATACAATGATCAACAAGGCAGGAAAGGGTTTGGTTGCAATGAGAGTTACGGCCGCCATGTGTGATCAACTAAGGGTGTTAGTCATCCGCTATCAGGACAAAATTCTCTCTTTCATAGAAAATGCACTGGCAATCCTGACCTTTACGAAGTATGCACTGGCAATCCTGACCTTCAGTAAGTATGAACAGTGTAGAAAGTCCTGAAAAGAAAAGACTCCTTCTCTGAACATGGAAAAGACAAAACAAAATTGTTGAGACTGACAAAGGCACTTAATTATGACAACCCATCTCACTTGAAAACAGTTCTCCAACAAGAAGGAAATCTACTCACAGGGAAGGAAGCAGCGACTCTATTGGCCCGAAACTATGAGAAAGAAAGCTCAAATTCAGTAACCCTGGAGCAAAAGAAAGCAGTCTGAGATAGGATAAACTCCATATTCAAAAAAGCCTCTTGTGAGCCATGCATGGAGACAGACATCACTCTAATTGAGCTACTAGGAGCTGAGAAAACTCACGTCAAAGAAGGCACCTGGTCTAGATGAAGTCTCGAACAGCATGCTCAAACATATGGGTCCAGTAGCAAAAAACATCTTACTCCAGATATACAACTATAGCTGGAAACTAGGCAGAGTCCCAGATATCTGGAAAAATGCTATAATCCACCCTATCCTCAAAAGTGGTAAGGACAAAAAGGACCCTCAGAGCTACAGGCCTGTCAGTCTGCTAAGCTGCCCTGCAAAACTGATGGAGAGAGTGCTAGCCACCAGACTTCAGTGGTTCCTAGAAACCAATCACAAACTGGATCCCGCTCAGACAGGCTACCGACAGCACAGAAGCACTGATGACCAGGTAGCATACCTTACACAGGACATAGAAAATGGCTTCCAGGAAAAGAAGAAAACCCTCACAGTCTTTTTCGATATGTCCAAGGCCTTTGACAAAGTATGGAAGGATGGCTTGATGCTAAAGCTCTTACATGGCGGAATAAAAGGCAGAATGTACTACTGGATACAAGACTTCCTATCCCACAGGCGGGCATCTGTGAAACTGGATGAAGCACATAGTCCCAGATTCAAGCTGAGAGCAGGAGTACCACAGGGTAGTGTACTGTCTCCAGTCCTGTTCCTGATCTACATCAACGACCTACCTCAAGCTTTACCCAGAGATGTATCACATTCTCTTCATGCAGATTACCCAGCTGTGTGGTACACCTCTGAGTTCATTGGACCTGCCATGCCAAAACTCCAGGAAAGTGTGAATAGTGTCATAACCTGGGCCAACAAATTGGGCCTCGAAGTAAACAAGAGCAAAACTGTAGCAACACGCTTCTCATTGTCTACAAAGGAGGAAAAGTTTACATTAAAATTCAACAATGATGCTGTTCCACGCTCCAATACTCCAACCTTCCTGGGAGTCAAGCTTGACAGTCGTCTGACATGGAAACATCACATACTAGAAACTAACAAAAAAGCTATGAGAAAACAAGGTGTGGTGAAGAAATTGGCAGGCACCGCTTGGGGAGCAGACAGTCGCATCTTGAAGCAGGTATACACCGACACAGTAAGACCCAACTCTCGACTACGCATCATTATCATGGATAACAGCAGCCCATTCCAATAAACAGTTACTAGACAAAACGCAAAACCGAAGTCTACGTACAATTCTGGGAGCCATAAAATCTACACCTATTGTAGAAATGGAAAAGGCAGCCAACATCCTCCCCTTAGAAGAAAGAAGTAGGACAAAATCAATTCTACATGCGGAAAAAATGAAGAGAATGCTAAACCACCCATTACACGAAAAATTGGCAGCCAGGACAAAAAACAACGAATAAAGCGCACTAGCCTAAACCATCTAACGAAGGAATTTGGAAAGTCATTCTCTTCACAACTTAACCAACAATGTACACCTGAAGAGCTAGCTATCTTTCGATCTCTGGGACTTAGAATTATTGACACTCAATGTGTCAACATCCATTCCGAACCTGGGAAACAGAGATGCTGAGCCCGCTTTAGTAAAGAAAGCACTTACAATGAACACCTCAACAACATGTTCCCACAAGACAGCTGGACCAGAATCTACACGGATGGATCTGCAAAAGAGGCAACTACGAATGGTGGGGCAGGTGTTTACATAAAACACCCAGACGCTACTACTGTGTCCCTGGCAGTCCCCACCGTACGAACTTGCTCTAACTACAAGGCAGAACTCTCAGCCCTATTGATGGCAGCACAGTATATGAACAATCTGCAAATCACCGCAGGCAGGATTGTTTTTCTCACTGACTCACTGTCAGCTGTACAGGCCCTTGAGTCCAAACCTACCGACAGCACACTACAAAGTCTAACACAGGAACTTGCTATGTTGTCAAAAACGACAGAAACTCACTTGCAGTGGATTCCATCTCATTGTGGCATCAAAGACAATTAAAGCGCTGATGCTTTAGCCAAGGAAGGCAGTAACAAACCACAGACCTACCAGCCACTATCTTTTCCAGAAGTCAAAACTCTCATTAAGAGGAAATCAGAAACAGATTGGAAAATCAATACTGTTTATAACTACGAAGAAGATTTTCTGACACACCTGAACAGAACAGACCAAGTCACAGTTTTTCGCTTACGTAGTGGACACTGAAGATTGCATAAACACTCATATAAATTAGGTATGAGCCAAACAGCTCTCTGCCAGTGTCTTCGTGCTGAACAGACTCCAGAACATGTCCTGCAAGACTGTCCTCTCCTGGCGGAGCTGCGGAGCAACATATGACAACACCCAGTAGAACTGTCAACTATGCTTTGGGGAAACCTAAGAGACCTTGAAAAGACATCCCAGTTTATGGCCCACAGTGAATTATGCACATGACTAGAGATCGCTAAAGAAGAAGAAGTAAGTATGCACTGGCAATCCTCACCTTCGGGAAGAGACAAATCAAAAGACTGGAAAAGGTACTTGGCTACACCGAAGACACAACATGTAGAGAAGCCGATCTCAACCTGTAGTTCGCGACCCTTTTACAAGCCTGTAATAGCAGGGAGCTTAATAGGATGTTTCCTTTAGAGTTTGAGTCATTCTGCCTGAGAGAAAACAACAGTCAACAAGCATCCACTTTGAGTGCTGCGGTCCTGGGTTCAGACTCCGGTGAAGGCTAGGATTTTTCCCACATGGACTTCTAATAACTTTCCCTGGTTTCTGGGTAGTAAGGTCAGACAGCCGTGTGTATTTTTGTGCACGTAAACAATTCCTTTGGCAGTTGAAAATCAAAAAAAAAAAAAAAGCGCTGCTCGAGCAAGGATTGGAGTTAAAAAAATACCCAAAATATTTCTGGATCATCACCGGTATTACATAGTCCGTTCACTGCGCTGAGATTCTTTCTCAGGATTGAGTTAGGAGTAGAACGGAGCACTTTTGGGTTACCATTGTGTGCCGTGGTGTTAATCCGTTGTTTAAACCTAGAGAGAAAAACACCTGATAAAGACTGAAGAACGTTTTCTGAGGGTATAACTGGTGACAAGGGAAGCCATGTTGGGATGACGAGGAAAGACTGGTGGCAAGAGATGCCATGCTGGGATGGCAGGGACAAACTAATGGGAAAGGAAGCCATGTTGGGATGACAGGGACAGACTGGTGGTAAGGGATGCCATGTTGGGATGACAGGGACAAACTTGTGGGAAGGGATGCCATGTTTGGATGACAGGGACAGACTGATAGGAAGGGATGCCATGTTTGGATGACAGGGACAAACTGGTGGGAAATGATGCCATGTTGGGATGACAGGGACAGACTGGTGGGAAGGGATGCCATGTTGGGGTGACAGGGACAGACTGGTGGGAAGGGATGCCATGTTGGGATGACGGGGACAGACTGGCGGTGAGGGATGCCATGCTGGGATGACGGGGACAGACTGGCGGTGAGGGATGCCATGTTGGGATGACGGGGACAGACTGGTGGTGAGGGATGCCATGCTGGGATGACGGGGACAGACTGGTGGTGAGGGATGCCATGTTGGGATGAGGGGGACAGACTGGTGGTGAGGGATGCCATGCTGGGACGACGGGGACAGACTGGTGGTGAGGGATGCCATGCTGGGATGACGGGGACAGACTGGTGGTGAGGGATGCTGGGATGACGGGGACAGACTGGTGGTAAGGGATGCTGGGATGACGGGGACAGACTGGGGGTGAGAGATGCTGGGATGACGGGGACAGACTGGTGGTTATGGATGCTGGGATGACGGGGACAGACTGGTGGTGAGGGATGCTGGGATGACGGGACAGACTGGTGGTAAGGGATGCTGGGATGACGGGGACAGACTGGTGGTAAGGGATGCCATGCTGGGATGACGGGACAGACTGGTGGTAAGGGATGCCATGCTGGGATGACGGGGACAGACTGGTGGTGAGGGATGCTGGGATGACGGGGACAGACTGGTGGTGAGGGATGCTGGGATGACGGGGACAGACTGGTGGTAAGGGATGCTGGGATGACGGGGACAGACTGGTGGTGAGAGATGCTGGGATGACGGGGACAGACTGGTGGTAAGGGATGCTGGGATGACGGGGACAGAATGGTGGCAAGGGATGCCATGCTGGGATCAGGGACAGGTTGGTGGTAAGGGATGCCATGCTGGGATCAGGGACAGACTGGTGGCAAGGGATGTCATGCTGGGATCAGGGACAGACTGGTGGCAAGGGATGCCATGCTGGGATCAGGGACAGACTGGTGGTAAGGGATGCCATGCTGGGGTGACGGGACAGACTGGTGGCAAGGGATGACATGCTGGTATCAGGGACAGACTGGTGGCAATGGATGCCATGCTGGGACCAGGGACAGGTTGGTGGCAATAGATGACATGAAGGGATGACAGGGACAGTTGAAGTATTATGTTATAGTTTACTAACTGAGATCTAATGACTAAGAGACGAAAAAAAGGGGGGGGGGGGCTCATGACACTGAACTTGATCCAACCAGAAAGCTTGACTCAATTTCCGGAGATATTCAAATAGTTATATTAGGAAAACATTATTTATTTAACAAACAGCAAATTAAAACTTCTTAACTTTGTATTTGTTTCGATAAACAGAAAGCGGAATTGACGTCCTGGAAGTGGGCTGTGGAAGAGGTCGCATGTTGGCCAAGTTAGCCCGGATGTTTCCAGAGAGTTCCTTCACGGCCTCGGACAAAGTTCAGTCTCTCCAGGACTGGCAGAAGACCAACCTGAGCTACATCCCCAACGTTAAATACGACATGCTTGATCTGTCCTGCCCGAGTGATCTCCCCAGCAAGCAGTACGATTTGGTTTACTGCGTCAATGTCATCCATGATGTCCCAGATCCTCTAGAAGCGCTGAAGACCGTCAGAAAACTGACCAAACCCGGGGGAGTTTTCACAATGATTGACTTCGCCACATCGGGCAGCCCCATCGGAGATAAAGGAAACATGTTAGTGGCTTTTTTGTATTCAGTTGGTACCTTTATGTCCGTCCCTGAGAGCTTCCAGAGAGAAGACAGTCAGGCCATGGGTTGTTGTTGGGGAAAACAGAGGGCGGTAGATCTTGCCACAGCTGCAGGGTTTACTGTGGATGTTGTTTATCTTGAATATCCAGTTGCACTTTTTATTTGTAAATAATGCACGCTGTCATAAACAGAGTACAGTAGATATAGCGACATATGAAGTTTTACAGTGGATGTTGTATATCTTGTATATCTCACTCCATTTTTTTTTAATGTGTAAATAATGCACGCTCTTGCACATTATACATTTACTTCTCTTATAAATGTGAAACAGGACTCAGCTAAAATAGTGAATAAAGAAAATATCAGTATGCATTTATACATTTGATATAAAACACCGATCACGCTGAGTTCATATAGTGGCACGGGAGTTACATCCAGGAAGGGTGTGGGGCCTCAACAAATAAAGTTTAAGTGTAAAGTCACCACTGTACCCATCCGCAAAAGTGAAGCCACCACTGTAGCAATCCACCAATGTGTGTGAGGCCAATACTTTAGCTATCCACCAATGTAGGGCCACTACTGTAGCCATCCACCAATGTCATGCGACTACTGTATCCATCCGCTATTGTGAAGCCACTACAGTAGCCATCCGCCAATGTGAAACAACTACTGTAGCCATCCACCAATGTGAAGCCACTACTGTAGCCACCCACCAGTGTGAAGCCACTATTGTAGCCATCCACCAATGTCTGTGAAGCCACTACTGTAGCCATCCACCAATGTGTGTGAAGTCACTACTGTAGCCATCCACCAATGTGAAGCCACTGCTGTAGCTATCCGCCAATGTGTGTGAAGCCACTACTGTAGCCATCCACCAATGTGTGTTAAGCCACTACTGTAGCCATCTACCAATGTGTGTGAAGCCACTACTGTAGCCACCCACCAATGTGAAGCCACTACTGTAGCCATCCGCCATTGTAAAGCCACTACTGTAGCCATCCACCAATGTTAGGCCACTACTGTAGCGATCCACCATTGTGAAGCCACTACTGTAGCCATCCACTAGTATGAGGCCACTACTGTAGCCATCCACCAATGTGAAGCCACTACTGTAGCCATCCACCAGTGTAAAGCCACTACTGTAGCCATCCACCAATGTGAGGCCACTACTGTAGCCCACCACCAGTGTGAAGCCACTACTGTAGCCATCCACCAATGTGAAGCCACTACTGTAGCCAGGTACGAGATACCAGTCAAATGAAACATCCAGAGTGAAGGTGAGTGAGTCAGTGGGCAAGTTGTTTTCCTTGTGTGGCAGCAGTTGTGACTGATTCCTAGATAGAGGGGTGAGGACTGAGGACGACCACTTGTTGAAACAGCAATAAACGACTTTGTTTCCAGTCACAATGTCGTCTCGGGTTCTGTTTTTCCTAGTAATATAATCCATTAGGAAAGAGGGAAAAAACAGTCTCTGTGGTCCAGGAAATTTGCAAAGAATAGATCATTGCAGGTCAGCCTTAACGAACACCCTATAGCACAAAGCCTGGGCAGTATTTTAGAGACCCTATGTTGCCCATGCATCATAGTCTCTCTCTCTCTCTCTCTCTCTCTCTCTCTCTCTCTCTCTCTCTCTCTCTCTCTCTCTCTCTCTCCCTGCCTTGTTTACTCCAGAGGAAAGGTAACACCAGTATGTTAGGAAAAAATGAAGTCTGCAGAAATGTTGCGGTATGTGTCATTGGTATTTGTTATGCGCTTTGCCATGTCACACATCAACATACTGGTACTCTGTTGGGGGCGTGATGCACTGAGCGACTCAACTTTAACATATTGGTATTCTGTTGGAGGCGTGATGAGCTGACAGACTTACCTTCAACAGGGTATTTTAAAGCCTCATCACGGCTAACATACGGTTGAAAGGGGTTTCTGAAACTTGTACCTGGGTGATTCTTATCCGAATGTGGACACTTTGTGTCACCTCCTTTTTGTCACTGGTTGTGCGGCCTTGATGGGCTTTAACATCACCGGTCATGACAGCAGAAATGCACATCAACTTGGCCCCACTATGGGACACAATATTTGTATTTTTACTTTAATTGCCAAACCCCGGCTGTAGTCAGGAGTCCTAATATAACCTAACGGTTAAACAGGGTTTTGGGAATTTAAACTCGTTTGATTTTTATCTGATTAGGGTCACTTTGAGTCACCGGCTGCTTATCGTTGGCATAGTGGAGTTGAACGTCACTAACTCATGACACCCGAACTGGACAGAGTTATATAACAATGCCAAAGCGCAGAAATGGTCGAACAACCAGAATTATATGCCAGAGCTTACATCCAATAAATTATAAAATGAAGAAAAAAAGTTAATTATGCAGCAAAGTTATCCAAAATGTTAGACCGTTTACAACTGTTTCTTTGCTGACTGTAATTCTTGCCTGCCATGTAGTTTTGTGTCTGGGTAAAAACTTTTATTTTGTTGTTGTTGTTTGCTTGTTATACTAGAAAATACAGTTGAGAGTGTAAATATGTGAACAGCCTCGGTGTGTGGTAAGCTGAACATAGATATCACTCATAGACTTTGTTAATTCTAAATATGACATCTTTACCATTGACTGATCCATAGTGAGTGTGTATGCAAAGACCATCATTGCCAGGACTGGGAGCCCAAATGTTTCGTAACCCAGCTAAGCATTTGAGTGTTTGGTGCGACACTGCGCTGTTCATTTCATTGTGTTTTGTTTTTCGGTCTGCAGTTCCTGCGGCGGTTGTGTGGAGCCAATTGAACTAAAAATGGCGTGTAGCTAATATGTAATTTGTGCATATATACACCCGCCTTCGAGATTCACTGTTTGTGTCAACAGTGGGTTGCAATTCTGCTAGAAGAATGTTGGTGTTGGTATATCTGATAGCTGCCGTATGCATCTAGTTTGCGTGAACTTCAAAACTTCTCTGGGACTGACAAGTTATTTACAATTTTTTCTCTATATGTGACAATGAAGGACATTTTGTGTGATTTCCACTAACAGGGGAAGGGGAACAGTTCTGGAAAGATCTGTCTGCACTAAAGCGCGAACTTTGACCAACTATCTAACTGACTGACTAACAAATTACCTAACTAACTAACTGACTGACTAACTAACTAACTGACTAACTAACTAACTAACTTACTAACTAAGTAACTAACTAACTAACTGACTAACTAACTAACTGACTAACTAGCTAACTAACTAACTATCTAACTGACTAACAAATTACCTAACTAACTGACTGACTAACTAACTAACTAACTATCTAACTAACTGACTGGCTGACTAACTAACTAACTGACTGACTAACTAACTAACTAACTAACTAACTAACTAACTAACTAACCAACTAACTAACTAACTAACTAACTAACTAACTAGCTAACTAACTAACTAACTAACTGACTGACTGACTAACTAACCAATTAACTATCTAACTGACTGACTAACAAATTACCTAACTAACTGACTGACTGACTAACTAACTAACTAACTAACTAACTAACTAACTAACTAGCTTACTAACTAACTAACTAACTAACTAACAAATTGACTGACAGACTGACTAACTAACTAACTAACTGACTGACTGACTAACTAACTAACTAACTGACTGACTGACTGACTAACTAACTAACTAACTAACTAGCTAACTAACTGACTGACTGACTGACTAACTAACTAACTAACTAACTAGCTAGCTAACTAACTAGCTAACTAACTAACTAGCTAACAAACTAACTAACTGACTGACTAACTAACCAATTAATTATCTAACTGACTGACTAACTATCAAATTGACTAACTAACTAACTAACTAACTAACAAATTACCTAGCTATCTAACTGACTAACTAACAAATTGACTGACAGACTGACTAACTAACTAACTAACTAACTGACTGACTAACTAACTAACTAACTGACTGACTGACTGACTGACTGACTAACTAACTAACTAACTAGCTAACTAACTGACTAGCTAACTAACTAACTAGCTAACAAACTAACTAACTGACTGACTAACTAACCAATTAATTATCTAACTGACTGACTAACTATCAAATTGACTAACTAACTAACTAACTAACTAACAAATTACCTAACTATCTAACTGACTAACTAACAAATTGACTGACAGACTGACTAACTAACTAACTAACTAACTGACTGACTAACTAACTAACTAACTGACTGACTGACTGACTGACTGACTGACTGACTGACTAACTAACTAACTAAGTAGCTAACTAACTGACTAGCTAACTAACTAACTAGCTAACAAACTAACTAACTGACTGACTAACTAACCAATTAATTATCTAACTGACTGACTAACTATCAAATTGACTAACTGACGGACGAACTAACTAACAAATTGACTAACTGACGGACTAACTAACTAACAAATTTACTAACTAGCTGACTGACTAACTATCAAATTGACTAACTGACCGACTAACTAACTAACAAATTGACTAACTGACGGACTAACAAACTAACTAACTAACTGACTAAAAAATTAAAAAACTAATTGACTAACAAATTAACTATCTAACTGAATGACTAACTAACAAATAGACTAACTGACTGACAAGCTAACAAATTAACCCACTAACTGACTGACTAACTAACTAACAAATTAACTTACTAACTGACTAACTAACAAATTAACTAACTAACTGACTGATTAACTTACAAATTAACTAACTTACTGACTGAATTATAACTAATTGATTAACTATCTAATTGTCTAACTAATAAATTAACTAACTAACAAACTAACTGCTGACTAACTAACTATTTAATTAACTAACTGTCTGACTAACTAACTAATTGATTAACTATCTAACTGACTGAATGACTACCTTACCAATTAAATAACTAACTGACTGACTGACTAACTAACCTATTAAATAACTAACCAACTGACTGAGTAACCAACCAATTAAACAACTAACTAACTGACTAACTAATTAACCAATTAACTAACTAATTAACGAACAAAAAATTCCATCTGTTCTTTTGTAACTAATTTTCATTATATCACTACACTTATTTGTATTTCTGAACATAAAGTTTCTCATCTTCTCGATCTATCAAAGCTTTCCTGAACAACGTGAATGCTATGTGCATCTCTCTCTCTCTCTCTCTCTCTCTCTCTCTCTCTCTCTCTCTCTCTCTCTCTCTCTCTCTCTCTCTCTCTCTCTCTCTCTCTCTCTCTCGTTCTGTATTATGCATGCAAGATACAGTTTCCCGCAATAAGAAATATGTATCATTTGTTGGTTTCCCTCCAAAGAAGATAAGGAAATGTTTTATTTACAAACAAAAAGGGCAATGGGATATTTAAGATAAACAACGCTGACTGTAAACCCCGCCGCTGTGGCAAGATCTACCGCTTTCTGTTTTCCCCAGCAAGCACCCATGGCCTGACTGTCTTCTCTCTGGAAACTCTCAGGGACGGACATAAAGGCGCTGATTGTGTAAATAAACGCCACAAACAGGTTTCCTCTATCCCCGACAGGGCTGCCCGATGTGGCAAGGTCAATCATTGTGAAAACTCCCCCGGGTTTGGTCAGTTTTCTGACGGTCTTCAGCGCTTCTAGAGGATCTGGGACATCATGGATAACATTGACGCAGTAAACCCAATCGTACTGCTTGCTGGGGAGATCACTGGGGCAGCACAGATCAAGCATGTCGTATTCAACGTTGGGGATGTGGCTCAGGTTGGTCTTCTGCCAGTTCTGGAGAGACTGGACATTGTCCGAGGCCGTAAAGGAACTCTTTGGAAACATCTGGGCTAACTTGGCCAACATGCGACCTCTTCCACAGCCCACTTCCATGACGTCAATTCCGATATCTGTAAAATATTTATCAGAATCAAATATAGCCAACGATTTCATTCTTCTAAAATACTGGTTCCGTTGTGAATCTTTCAGTCTAGTCAACACGGATCTATGTTTAGGTCTTTCGTTCATTCTCCAGTTCTCCTAGCTTCTGCATTTTGGTGATCAGTTGCTTCAATTGCAGGAACCCATTAACTTATTTGTTGAACCTTTTCTTCTCGCGAAGCCATAACTTCTATTATATAAGTTGCCGTGGATTGATGAAGGACTGTATTAATTTTTCGATTCACGATACTGTTTGCAAGCCAATTTTCTTCAGTGTTAGGAATTTCCAAAGCAACATTCTTGTAATCAACAAAACGATATAGACATGTGCAAGGGGATGTTCGCCCATAAAAGTTAGTACTTATACAGATCTCAAACGACATGGTCTTGATATATGTGATAAATTACGGCTGTGAAATGAAAAGCAAAAATCACTCTGTCACCATCTTGGTCTGGTTTTGTGCCACCTACAAGCGAATGAAAATATCAAGTTTGAGATTATTCACCTTCCCCCCGGCGACTTGTGAATGTGAGTCTTGTGTTCTCACTCACTAATTAAAGAAGAAATAAAAACTGTTCTTAGAATACCAGGGACTTGGAACAAGACAAACACCGACATCCTAGATGATCGGGGCATCTAAGAGATTTGGCACATCAACATTATCCCGTTCCGAAAGCTGAGTTATTTTGGCCATGTTATAGCGACCTGGACGGTGCAGTTTCTGGAAAACGAGGCAAAGGCAGACCTGCATGAATTATATAGAGGACAATGATGATGATTTAGCTATGAAAGCACATAGGGCTGGAGAATTGGCTAGAGAAAGAGAGACTGGCAGATGTGTGTAGACTAACGTGACGCTCTGTAGATTTGATAAAATCATAGAACCACAACTTAGAAGTGACCTTATGTTGTTGTCCATTGTGAGATTTAAAAATGTCTCTAGTCTTGTTGCTATCGGGGAAATCAATGTTTTCCACATTGTCTACTTTATTCCATTTTCTACCGTAGAAAGGAAGTTCTTTTATGTATACAACTTTCTTTTTATTCCTCACAGTTAATTAGTAAAAGGTTTAATAGCAGTTATCAAAATACAAACAAAAAACAATACACACATGTACAGACAAACTAAAGCGGATCTGTTTACCAAGTTGTGCCTTTGATCCATCCACAGACTCCATGACAGCTGCCACATACACATGTACAGACAAGCTAAAGCGGATCTGTTTACCAAGTTGTGCCTTTAGTCCATCCACAGACTCCATGACAGCTGCCACATACACATGTACAGACAAACTAAAGCGGATCTGTTTACCAAGTTGTGCCTTTAGTCCATCCACAGATTCCATGACAGCTGCCACATACACATGTACAGACAAGCTAAAGCGGATCTGTTTACCAAGTTGTGCCTTTAGTCCACCCACAGACTCCATGACAGCTGCCACATACACATGTACAGACAAGCTAAAGCGGATCTGTTTACCAAGTTGTGCCTTTAGTCCATCCACAGACTCCATGACAGCTGCCACATACACATGTACAGACAAGCTAAAGCGGATCTGTTTACCAAGTTGTGCCTTTAGTCCATCCACAGACTCCATGACAGCTGCCACATACACATGTACAGACAAGCTAAAGCGGATCTGTTTACCAAGTTGTGCCTTTAGTCCATCCACAGACTCCATGACAGCTGCCACATACACATCAAACTGGGTAGGGCCATATTCTTCAACGACATCGTGGAACTCTGGTGACATTCTGTAACCTGGGATAGAAATATCAAGTTAAAGTCTAGGCGCTCTCAGAAAATGACAAGTGACGTTAATTTAATGAAGCCAAATAAAAACTGTACTTTTCAATTATTTTACAAAACCTGACACCATTGTCTTCCTTGTGTAAGTCGCCCACTCATTTGTAACAAAGTCTTCACTAGGATCAGCGACTATTGACACAAACCGTGTCCAATTGTTGCCGTTTGTGTTGTCAAAGTATGCCACTATTCGAGTTACATGACTAACTTAATAGTCATAAGCGTCGTACAGTTTGCATGTCTTTTAGACGCGACAACTGTTAGCAAACCATTTCTTCTACAAAAAGCAACTTTTAGAAAATGCAGGGCGACTTTTACAAAACACTAGTCGACTTTTACAATGCAAGGGCATTAACCCAACTATGGCACACCAGTTTCGTTATCTAGTAGGCCGTATCAGGTGGCCACCTTGTGTGTTATGTTACCAACTTGTTTTGTTTCCGTTGGTATGTCAGTTCTTCTTGATGACCAGCATGGCAGTATTCTTGTCAGTTATTTTTGCTATTCTTCTCAAAACACCAGCGAATTAGCTATCATCTCCTAAAATTTGTTTTTACAAAAGTGGTTACTTCTCTTCAAACGGCAGTATCCTGATAACTTCCTTGGCAAGGCATTCAGTGAAACTGGCATGTCTTTAACGACTCAGTGACCAGCTTGCCTGACATCTTACTCGTTTTGTTTCATTGGGCGTGTCAAGATTCTTCAAGACAGTCCACTATCCTTGATACACCTCAAGTCGCTCGCTATTGGGACACCTTAAGTCGCTCGCTATGTTTCGCTATTGGGACACCTCAAGTCGCTCGATATGTTTCGCTATTGGGACACCTCAAGTCGCTCGATATGTTTCGCTATTGGGACACCTCAAGTCGCTCGCTATGTTTCGCTATTGGGACACCTTAAGTCGCTCGATATGTTTCGCTATTGGGACACCTCAAGTGGCTCGATATGTTTCGCTATTGGGACACCTCAAGTGGCTCGATATGTTTCACTATTGGGACACCTCAAGTCGCTCGCTATTGAGACACCTCAAGTGGCTCGATATGTTTCGCTATTGGGACATCTCAAGTGGCTCGATATGTTTCACTATTGGGACACCTCAAGTGGCTCGCTATTGGGACATCTCAAGTGGCTCGATATGTTTCGCTATTGGGACACCTGAAGTGGCTCGCTATTGGGACACCTCAAGTGGCTCGATATGTTTCGCTATTGGGACACCTCAAGTGGCTCGCTATTGGGACACCTCAAGTGGCTCGATATGTTTCGCCGTCAGTCTAAATATAACCCGATGGCAGGTCAAATGTATTACGGATCAAGGTAATAAAGTCTCCCTGCTGCGGTTCTGTCACATTTGTACATGTAACTGTCATACTTGATTTAAATCTCTTCGTCACTGACCACTCATACAGTTATTATATAACAAGACTTAAACCCCCCCCCCCCCCCCCCCCCCCCAACCCCCCCCCCCCCCCCCCCCCAACATTGATACTCCTGATAAACTTTCATATATCCTTTTATAGGTCATTCTTGAATACGCCACGGACCACTACTGGTCCCTCAGAAAATATCATCTAACAAAGTGACACTGACATATCTGACCAGTTTTTATATTTTTCTATATAGTAGTCCTACTTTTCTTCATCACTGACCACTTGGAAAATAACTTCACACTGACATCTCTGACTAATTTCCATATTTTCCTATGTAAGTTAGTGCTTGACCAATGACCACCACTGTCCACTCAAAAAATAGCACCTAACAACTCACATTAACACTCGTGACCAATTTCGATATGTTTCTATACAGACAGTCACACATGACCACTAATACTGACCTGTACTGACCACTACTGACCAGTCTAGCAACAGCACCTAGCAACCACTACAAACTTTAAACACATCCTGATGTATACATTGTGGGGTAATAGTAACATTGGTCTTCTTATGGAGCACTCTTCTACATACCAGCTCACTTCTGATTAGTCGGCCTTGAGTCACGTGTACTTGGCACAAGGTCACGGGGGTGTTCCGCAATGCCATTGATATCGCGTGTTGTATATTTCACCATGCCAGCGCTTTCAACACTCCAAAAACATCGTCAAAGTTTGTCTTACACAAAATCCCTCTAGAGAGTGATGAAACCTATGACACAGGCATTCTCTTTCTCGGAATAAAAACGTAAATGCAAGACAACACAGATAGCAAACAACAGAACGGCACATCCGTAACCACTAGCACAATACACCAGTCCTACAAAGTTATCAATGGAACGTGACCTACTTTGTATGGGGGGACTAATGTCAGTCTGACCCACTTTGGTATTTGTTTCTGTTTAAAGAGATTCTTGGCCCTCACAATGACCTCTTGATGATCGCAATTTTAACACAGCTAAAACAATTACTAGCCCTGGTCACTCATACACACACCCGAGCACACACATACAGACACATTTACACGCACAATCCTCAAGGAAAATAACAGCACCATATGACCAGGGAGTGATTTCAAACACCATTATCTAGAAGCCATGATGACAACCCCCCCCCCCTCGTCCCCCACCCCGACCCTTCCTCCTTTCCCCAAATTACCAACTAACTATTCCACTCAATATATAATTAATGTATAAAGTCATAGAACATTATGCCGTCACATTTCAATGACCCCTAGTAAGCTGATCCCGCAATGACCCCTAACGCTAACGCCCAGGTGATCTGATTATCTGTACAGACAGATCGGTGTTGAGAGTAAAGAGAAGTGCCTAGGGGTTCGTATAGAAAGTCTATGGAAAATCTTTAAAGCAAAACAGCCTAGCATACGACATCACAACATCTAGCATGATAATGAAGGTGGAGGTGGTAACTGCAGCTCTCTGGTGGCTAGAGAACAAGATGCATACACATGTCGTAATTGTAACAGACTCTGAAAGCATGCTGAGAAAGGTGGAGGCAGTTATGCTTCGAGCAGAGTGGCAAGCTTCACTGGGAAGTTCACGGTTAGTGAGCATACTCTGGATATTTTTTCCAGGCCATGCCAGCGTGGTGGGTAATAAACAGGCAAACAGATTGGCAGGATCTGCAGGATTCAGTGGTGAATTGATACATGACAATGCAGATGTTGTCAAAGCCATTTGAGAACAAGCAACGGAATCTGAATAGAAGATTATTATGCCCTGGAGAGAATGAGGCACCTGGGTGTAACCAGAGAGTCTGGTCGACTCACTACATTTAAAAGAAAGGCAAGACGAGCATACAACTAGACTGTGACCGGTACCATCGGTATTGGAACTCTGCGCTGGCTGCTCAAGATAAGAAAGAGCAGGCAAGCGAATGCCCAGAGTGCTGCGATGTCAATTTTTCACTCAACTCAACTGAACTTGACTGACCCCTAACAAGTCGATACAACACCTGACCTTTAAAACCACTCACCTAACACAGCGACATACCCCCTATCTTGACCCAGAGCAACCGAAGAAGGCGCCCCTAGGTTACTTATATAAATGACGAAATAGGTCCAAAAGATATCCAACCTGAACATTCTATACTACTGCTGTTATGCGCCACAATACTAACTACATTTATGATATTTTTAGCATACAGGTTGAAAATGGGTGGAGAGAGAACGCACCTCTGCCTAACTCCTCTACTCTGCACCTCAAAACAGTCCGATGTTTCACCAGCTACTCTGACTGCTGCTTGTTTCTAGAGATAGATGCTGTGGTAGCCTCCCCTGACTTTCCACATCCACATATATGAGCAACTCAACCTCCATAAAAATTTGAGATGGTCAGGGTAAGTGAGCAACCTGCTCTGTGATGCTATCATAGTGGCCATAAGAATTTATTTTAAAATTGTCAAAAAATAAAGCAATCATCGGATCAAAGTTGCTCCTAAAGTAGGCGGTATCTGTGTTCACTAGTAACTCTACAACTTACCCTGCGGCCCATTTTTGCTGACACAAGACTTCAGGTCGTCGTATACTTTTATCATCGCCACTGGAAAAGAAATTCGAGTTTTAAGGGGACCAGAGAAAAGTTTCTTCTCATCCTCCTCAAGATAATAGAGCAGACAGCCGGACTCACTCGTGGACACATGGATGACCTCAGCTGTAGCCAGGCTGCCCAGGAGTTCACGCACGTATCTGCAACAAGAATGGCCCCATTACTGCAAGTTTCACATTTCAATCAACTCTACAATGTTAAATCTTAGTCGCCGTGGTATAGTGGTTAGAATGGCGTCTGCGAATCCAACGCTCGTGGGATCAGATTTCAACCAATACGGTCAGCGGGATGTTGAGCAAATCAGCAACCGAGTGTCAGATAGTCCATAAAATGTAGGTCTAGCCCTACATGCCCAACACGCATGAAAGCGTGGCAAAGAGTCATCTGTAATGTCATTAGCTACAATCATTTAACTCTTCAAAAATAACCTTGTCGGCTTTTATGGTTTGAGGGTTGGGATCGCAGTTTCATAATTTCAATTCAGTTGTAGGCCACTGATCTGCGTCAATTTCGACAATAAGTGGCTTACTACTGACATAAAAACTGCAACCAGCCAACAAATGCTGGGATTAGTGTGCGGTCTCATGTAAGAGATGCAGCTAACTAGACAACAAACTCACAGTTGGCACCACAACTCTTAAAACTGTTTTATCATAACTTCAAAAGGGTCACACTTCACTGTGCCTGCTATACAATCTACTGACCGTCACACTTCACTGTGTCTGCTCTACAATCTACTGACCGTCACACTTCACTGTGCCTGCTATACAATCTACTGACCGTCACACTTCACTGTGCCTGCTATACAATCTACTGACCGTCACACTTCACTGTGTCTGCTCTACAATCTACTGACCGTCACACTTCACTGTGCCTGCTATACAATCTACTGACCGTCACACTTCACTGTGCCTGCTATACAATCTACTGACCGTCACACTTCACTGTGTCTGCTATACAATCTACTGACCGTCACACTTCACTGTGTCTGCTATACAATCTACTGACCGTCACACTTCACTGTGTCTCTGCTCTACAATCTACTGACCGTCACACTTCACTGTGCCTGCTAAACAATCTACTGACCGTCACACTTCACTGTGCCTGCTCTACAATCTACTGACCGTGACACTTCACTGTGTCTGCTCTACAATCTACTGACCGTCACACTTCACTGTGTCTCTGCTCTACAATCTACTGACCGTCACACTTCACTGTGTCTCTGCTCTACAATCTACTGACCGTCACACTTCACTGTGTCTGATCTACAATCTACTGACCGTCACACTTCACTGTGTCTGATCTACAGTCTACTGACCGTTACTCTTTATTGTGTCTGCTCTACAATCTACTGACCGTCACACTTCACTGTGTCTGCTCTACAATCTACTGATCGTCACACTTCACTGTGTCTCTGCTCTACAATCTACTGACCGTCACACTACACTGTGTCTCTGCTCTACAATCTACTGACCGTCACACTTCACTGTGTCTGATCTACAATCTACTGACCGTCATACTTCACTGTGTCTGATCTGCAATCTACTGACCGTCACACTTTACTGTGTCTGATCTACAATCTACTGACCGTCACACTTCACTGTGTCTGATCTACAATCTACTGACCGTCACACTTCACTGTGTCTGATCTACAGTCTACTGACCGTCATACTTCACTGTGTCTGATCTACAATCTACTGACCGTCACACTTCACTGTGTCTGATCTACAGTCTACTGACCGTTACTCTTTATTGTGTCTGCTCTACAATCTACTGACCGTCACACTTCACTGTGTCTGATCTACAATCTACTGACCGTCACACTTCACTGTGTCTGATCTACAGTCTACTGACCGTTACTCTTTATTGTGTCTGCTCTACAATCTACTGACCGTTACTCTTTATTGTGTCTGCTCTACAATCTACTGACCGTCACACTTCACTGTGCCTGCTCTACAAGTTGACAATCTACTGACTAGATGAAGTCATATATCTGACGTATGTTCACAAGCTATACTAGTCATCCTTATATTTACTGGAAATGTCCAAGTGGTCATCTTCCGTTCCCTTATATGTTATGAAAGAAAATTCTGACCCAAGAGAAGCCGCCGAATTAACCATAACAGATAAAGAACTATGTTAGACATATTGTATAAACACTACTGGCCACCGTGGTGTAGCGGCTAGTCGCTCGCCTCCAGATCAGAAAGTAGTGGGCTCAGGTCATTGTAGAGCCAAACTAATTTTATTTTCATTCATGACCTTGGCTTGCATGTTGACCGAGTCCACAATGAATGGGTAGCAGGTAGATTTTTGGAAGTAAAGGCGGTCACCGTGATGTTGACCATATCCCCCACTGAGTGCCAATTAATTGGTCTGTAAAATGTGGGCTAACCCTATATGCCCAGTACACCTGAAGACTTTTAAAAGGGTCCCTAACTTTTTGTGTAAATACTATCTTGTAATAAATACACGAGGGAAACAAGATAGTTTCACTGTTTGTCAACTCTTTAGAATGCAGCTACATCAGTTATTATCAGTGGACGAGAAGAATTCTCTCAAACAATGGGTGATAACTGTAAGACAACAAAGAACATGTTACTCGCACCTCTCTTTCAAACCTGCTCGGTCAGCGATCTGGTCAGATGTCAGCGATGTCCGAGCGTCCAGCAGAACTTGCAGGATCCCCACATCTTTGGATAAAGTCAGTGCGAAACCGACAAATGTGGAGTTGACGAACAGATCTAGCTTGTCTGCGAAAGAAGACATCACACTTATGTGTAGTATACACCAGCTTTGTGGCGATATGACGAGAGGTTGTTGCGCAATTTGTGTATTTATACTTTGTGCTATGAATATTGGAATAATCACGTTAGTGCTAATGACATCACCTCCCTCAGGGATTCCCAAAACAATAACAATTTGGGTATAATTTCTTGCGATTATTGACCCGCCGTGGGGATACAAGTGGAACATTTTTGTGCGACGTTGAGAGAAACGTGCAGTATATGTCTGCTGTAACGAACCAATAGTAACAGGAAAAGACAGAACATTGCGGTTATTAACCTTCATCTCTGCAGAATAACGACGATTTAGAACAGAACACACAAAATTACAGGGTTAAAGGCGATTCATTCCTTGTCGAGGGCACAGTTTGGAAATTTGTAATTAGTGATCATCGAGGCAAGTATCTGCGAGTTGCTTCGGTGCCGAATTAGAACCCCAGCAGACTTGATTACAGTTAACACTTCAGTCGATGATATCTCTTTAAGGCAAGGGTCATGTTTGCTCAGAGTGTGCCACAAACTAATCACAGCCTAGGATGGTCACGAGACTAGTTTTTACAAGGATGTTGCAGAGACTAGTGTCTACCCGGCGTGTGCCAGAGCTAAATCTCTACCCGGGGTGTGAAAGAGCCACGTCTCTACCCGGGGTGTGCCGGAGCCAAGTCTCTACCCAGTGTGTGCCAGAGCCAAGTCTCTGCCTAATTTGTGCCACAAATTAACCACATTCCAGGATGGTCGCAAGAATGTTGCAGAGACTAGTGTCTACCCAGGAAGTCCTTCACTGTAATAACTTTCTGAACTGTCCGTCGACTATGACGTTAGAGAATAAAACCAGTATAAACGTTACTGACGTCCTTGTTAGTGCAGTCACTGACACTTTTAAATCAGCTCTCGCACACTTTCCTAGATCCAGTTCAATAACAGGCTTGTTAATGCACTGACTATTTTCGTTATACCGCATGGGCATCAAAACTGGCGAAAATCTCTCGCAAAATAGTTTTCGCGCGCCTGTCCGCCTGTCTGTCTCTTTATCAATATGTCTGTCTGTCTATCAGTATATCTATCTTTCTATATGTCTGTTGGTGTGTCTGTCTGTCTGTCTAACAATATATCTGTCTGTGTGTCTGTTTATCTATCTATCTATCTATCTATCTATCTATCTATCTATCTATCTATCTATCTATCTATCTATCTATCTATCTATCTATCTATCTATCTATCTATCTATCTATCTATCTATCTATCTATCTATCTATCTATCTATCTATCTATCTATCTATCTATCTATCTATCTATCTATCTATCTATCTATCTATCTATCTATCTATCTATCTGGCTGTCTGACTGTCTGACTGTCTGACTGTCTGTTTTTTAAGAAGTTTTGAGGAATAGAGTAAGCAGCCCTAAAATTAACCATTCCCTAGGTTGCTTTTTACGTTACGCATAACAGAGTACTGCAATACTATTTTTTGATTCCACTACGTGCTCTGGACATTTGAACCTATTCGTCATTTTCATTATATCTCAATAAGTGTGTCTATCTTTTATTCTGACTGCATGTCCCCTTTATGCCTGTGTATATGATAGGGTTGAGTGCTATCTTTAGAATTCTTTACACGGGAATATATTCTGTGTATGATAGGGTTGAGTGCTATCTTTAGAATTCTTTACACGGGAATATATTCTGTGTATGATAGGGTTGAGTGCTATCTTTAGAATTCTTTACACGGGAATATATTCTGTGTATGATAGGGTTGAGTGCTATCTTTAGAATTCTTTACACGGGAATATATTCTGTGTATATGATAGAGTTGAGTGCTATCTTTAGAATTCTTTACACGGGAATATATTCTGTGTATATGATAGGGTTGAGTGCTATCTTTAGAATTCTTTACACGGGAATATATTCTGTGTATATGATAGAGTTGAGTGCTATCTTTAGAATTCTTTACACGGGAATATATTCTGTGTATATGATAGAGTTGAGTGCTATCTTTAGAATTCTTTACATGGGAATATATTCTGTGTGTATGATAGGGTTGAGTGCTGTCTTTAGAATTTTTTACATGCAAATATATTTTGTGTATATGATAGGGTTGAGTGCTATCTTTAAAATTCTTTACATGGGAATATATTCTGTGTGTATGATACGGTTGAGTGCTGTCTTTAGAATTATCTACATGGGAATATATTCTGTGTTTAAAATTGTTTGGGTTCCTTCGAATATTCGGCTCCTATCTGAAAACAGACACTTGTACTTTCGACATGAAAAGAATAAAAAACGTTTGTAAGTGTAGATTAGAGTCATTAGTTACAGTAGCAAGATTATTAACATCTCCTTTGACATTTAGCAACTGCGGGTATTGTGCGATGTTTACTTTCCCGGTGCATACACAAATTGCTTCATTATTTACATCACAGAGTTGATTGGTGAGCTTTTGTGACAGGAATTTGTGGGTTACCTCTATGTTCTAGCTGGTGCAGTAGTTAACTGCGTAGTTAGACACTGAAGTCTGCTGGGAACATGTCATGGGAGTTTCAAATAAATCGTGTGTAAATGTCAGTTCTTTAAAAAATAAAAATGAAATGGAAACTTCAGGTGCTGATAATGGCTGAAAACATTAAAATAATCGGGGCAGAAAATGGGAAACCAAAATGCAGAGCCTAACAGTTGAATGGGGTTTCTGTGTCTTGCACCTGGGGGACTCTCATCCAATTGGTGGCTGTCAGACACTTTTATATATGTGATAGAGGCTATTTATGTTAGTATCCTGATGGAGCTGACCGTGCCGTATGAGTCGCGAATGGAAGAAAGTCATATGAATCAGCTCGAGAAATACAGTGACCTCGCGGCTGGTCTGAGGAGAGACGAAGCGTACACAGTAAGCATCTTCGCCGTCGAGGTAGGCTCGTTTCCACTTCTACGTACAATGTGATAAAACAGTTGGGCTTGCGAGGAAAAGAGTGCAAACGATCATTAAAACAACTGGGCGAGGCTGCAGAGATGGGCCTCGAGCTGGCTCTGGACACAACCGAACGTCGTGGGGGACGGACCTCGGTTGACTGGTTCATGTGTCTAGTGGAAAAGATAGTCTTATCCCCAATAGTCCATCGTGTCTAAATTGTTTGGCGGTGTCCCTCCTTCATTTTCCCAACAAAGTTCAACATGTGTCCGATAAACCAACCGTAAAGCTTGGTCGTCCAGGTAAGCTGACTGCTCTGATAAGCTACTGCAGTGACTATGTAAAAAAAACTTTCTCACAGTACCTATTGCATAATCACCAAATTAGTCTTGTCCCTGTCCGAGAACATCCGGTAATACGTACAGCAGGAGCAGATCAAGCCTGAGGTTCATGAACTCAGGTGGGCCTACCCTCTGAAATTGTCTAGGAGCTTGTGGGCCGAAACAATTGGGGACGAAGGATCACTTCTACTGATGATTGCTAGACTCCTCCTTCTTATAGTTTGCGCACACTTTTGTTACCATGAAAAAAAACTCATTACCGTGTTTCTTATTCTCAGATAATGTTTATTTTAAGTGCTCATAATAATGGCAAAGTTAGTCTGGCTTCCACACAAAGTTATCAACTACTGAGTAGCCACACATTTATTCGTATAGCTCACAAGCACACAAATCTATCTATCTATCTATCTATCTATCTATCTATTTATCTATCTATCTATCTATCTATCTATCTATCTATCTATCTATCTATCTATCTATCTATCTATCTATCTATCTATCTATCTATCTATCTATCTATCTATCTATCTATCTATCTATCTATCTATCTATCTATCTATCTATCTATCTATCTATCTATCTATCTATCTATCTATCTA